AGAACACTTACAAAAATAAATAGGAAGATTCAAAATTATAAAGATGTTGATTTTCCCCAAATTAACCTATATTCGATCTGATGCCACTCAAAACGTCAGCTCTCTTGGGGGATGGTAGGAATGTCACAAAATTATTCAAAATGCAACTTGAATAATAAATATGTAAGAATACTCAGGAAAATCTGAAATAGCAGAAGAAGGAGACGAGTCCTACCAGTTATTAAATTAGTAATCTACAATTAAGACAACTTGATAATGGCAGAAAAATAGAAATATCAGTGAAATAGAACACAGAGCCTTAAAATGTACCCAGACACACATCTAGTATAAATGTAATATATTAGTAAAATGGCAATTCAAGTCAGTGGGGGTAAAGAAGGATAATTCAAGGTTACTGCAACAACTTGCTAATTATTGGTGGGAAAATGGGATTCTCATATTCTTCTTTAAAAGAAGTTACAAGAGGAGAGAGTATAGCTCAGTGGTAGAGCACATGCCTGGCATGCATGAGGTCCCGGCTTCAATCCCCAGTACCTCCACCTAAAGATAAATAAATAAACCTAACTTCCTCCCCTCCCCAAATAATAAAATAATAAAAAAATAAAACAAATTACAGATGGAGTACAAATATTAAAATGTAATAAAGTACTAGAAGAAAAAAATGTTTTTGGAGTCTGAAAGTGGGTAAGAAGTTTCTAAGAAAAATACTCAGATATCTGTCCTCGTAACAGATTAACATTTACTGTCCTACAAAAAATAAATAAATGAATAAACAGATAAAGAAAATGAATGACACACTAGGGGGGGGTAAAGTGTAACATTACTACATACAAAGAATTAATTTCCCAGATATACTATAAACTCCTACAAAATCATAATACAAAGATCATCTAAGAAAAGAATGGCCAATGACATAATAGGTAGCCTAATTAAAAAAAAAAAAGAAATACAGAGTTGCTCAACCTCACTCATAAAAATTGCAAACAAAACTAAGTATTTTCACAGATGAGTAAAAGTGAATAAATTTTATCCCTAATAAGAATAATTTTATTATTAAAAAGTGAGTGAATAAATGTTGACGAGCATTTGGGGAAACAGGAGGTATTCTCCTATGCCCTTGGGGAGAAGGGAAAATGGTGCAGCCTGGCTGGTGAGCAATGTGACAACGTTTCCCTAAGCAATTTCTAGAAATGTGTCCTAGATATAAGTCACATATATATGAATAAAGACACCTGCAAAGATACAGGCACCGGGAACTTTTTTCAGGATTTTTGGTAATCACAAAAAGCGGAAGACAACAGAGTAACTGGAAAATGCCCACTCCTGACACAGCCATATGTTGTGACTTGACGACTATGTGATTGCAGGAGAAAACCAAGCCAGCGACAAACAGCTGCAGGGACTGATGTGAGTGAGGGACTGATGTGAGTGAGGAGAGTTTGAAAAGTACTTAATTGGCAATATTTCAATAAATCCAAGATACTCAACAGCACGTATAGTATGATCCGATTTTGGTGGGGGAGGAATGTACAAGAAATTTACTAGTGGTCACCTCTACTGAGGAGGGCGGTCACAGGGGCTCAGGCGGGATGGCTTTGACTTTTTGCTTCATAGCCTCTGCATGACTGAAGCTTTCTCATAAGGACGAGTTAAACATGGCTGTCCTTTCCTCTAACCTTTACCCGTCTGCAAATGGCCCCATGACAGTGACATTGCTTCACAAAACCATCTGTTGCGGTGTTACAGCTCAGCTGTGATATCAACCTAGACCGGAGCGAGAGACTAAGCGGCACTCGGAAAGCTGGAGAACTCAGGCTTATTACACCAGCAAGCCCAGAAGAGTCTCTGGACCCCGTCTGTAGGTTTACACAGGCCTTTATAGGCTGCCAATTTACACTTTGCAACATCATATGCAAATAAAGTATAACAAAAGTTGACCAACTAGGAACAAGCTTTGTAGAAATAGACCAATCAGGAGGGAGAAAATAACCAATCAGGAGTGAGGGAAAAGGACCAATCAGGAGTGAGAGAAATAACCAATTAGGAGTGAGAGAGATAACCAATCAGGAGTGAGCTCCATGCAAATGAAGTACTACAAATGAACCAATCAGAAGTGAGAGTAATAACCAATCAGGAATGAAGGAAATAACCAATCAGAAGTGAGCTCAGGGAACCAATAGAATTTTAGGGTAAGTAGCTGTTACAGAGCAAAAGTGAGATAGAGCTTCTGGGCCAGGGAACCAGACGGTGCTGGCAGGAGAGTGGTGGCCCTGCTTGTGTGTCCTGCTGGTCTTTTTATGGGGCTTCCCGCCTCACATCTACCAGGAGCAGGTCTCCACCAGTGCCTCCATGTCTCTGCTCACGCTCCCTGTCCCACCTTCCTAGCACATCTAACTCTTGCACATCTAGCCTCCATCCAGGACCAGCTCCAAGACCAACAATTCCACAAAGACGTTGAGAACTCAAAATAACACCATCTGTCCCTGCTCAGCACCCCCCACAGCACTCAAACTGCAACACACACGTTTTTGGGGTTTTGCTTTTTTGCTTTTTGCAGAGTTTACAATTACTCAATTATTTAAATTTTGTTTAATTTGCAACACATTGTTTTGCCTTTAATTTGTTAATTTACTTTTCCTAAGTTTTTAGTCTCTTCTTTCTCCAATCTTTAGGCATATTGAGAGAGCATGCTTAACTTTATTTTGTCCTCCCCACCCCACATTTTAGTTAATGTGAGAAACAGCATTTGATAAACACTGTTTAATCAATTTTATGTAACAGTTCCCTCAATATCCACGTATTATTTTTTTTCTAAGAAGAAATCCCATTATTTATGGTCCTAGTTCCTAGGTCATATGGCCACATGGTATTTTCTTCATTTAAAGATGACATAAAACCCACTTTTTAGAGTAAATTCACACTTTGTGTACCTGGAATTTCCCATTCGGGGCAATCCTAAAAAGTTGTGATCTGACTTAATTCACAATTCTGACAGTAGCAGAACACTTATCTAAAATAGTTTCATACTTATCCTCATATAAAAAAACAAAAAACCAACATAATCTCTGAAAACAATTCAGTAGCATGAACATAAGAATATTAAATCCTGATTAAAGAAGAGAAATAGATATAATGCTGTAATACCAATCAGTTTTATCCAGTGTAAGAAAAAATTTAAGCTTTATTTTGGTAAAACATCTCAGATTCCCTCAGATCACAGCATGTCAATAAGCAAAATGTACACAAACTGAATTTACACTACGTGTCAAGTCCCGAATTCAGTCTTACGTAAGCATATTGCAAAATACAAGTGCCAACGACTTAACTATAGGTAGTATTTTAAACAAAAATAAGTGAGTTTTCAGCACTTAAGTGAAATGAGGCTTTAATCAAAAAAGACTTAATTCCACAGGGTGTATTTTTTCAGAACAGCAATTAATTCAATCAAGTCTGTGATTCCACGTTCAAGTGACAGTGTTATGTTGGAAGCAACCGAGAAAAGGCAATCAACGTGTAAGTGGTCGGATACAGTATGTACCATATTTGGGGACGATCTCTAACCGCATCCAACTTTCAGACCTTGTTTTGGAGTCTAATGCAACACAAAACTAGAGAGAAGAACTCTGACCCCACTTGGAGGAATGCAGCAAAATTGCTGTCTGGGCACACACATACTTCGTAACTTTGAAGGTCTAATCCATTCCCCACACTAACTGATTCACCCAGAGCATACTTCTTCAGCCACAACTTTAAGGAACACGCAGCTTTTGACAGAAGAGAATTCTGTACTTCCAGTTTTAAAGCAGACAGTTCTACGAAGAGGCAACCGTTTAAGCATCCGAGTACACACACTGAGGTTTTTACAACTTCATGCCTTAAGAGAAGTTTTGATTTCAGAAGTATCATTTCAGGCGCCCCACATCAAATATTTACACACTACGGGTTTCATACAATATAATTATAGAAACTGTAAGTGGCACAAAATAATCACAAAATTTTCAAATTCAAGTTTCCAGCGATCCTTAAAAAAAAAAAGGCAGATTATAACTGTTTTGTCCAACTGAGATATCCAAGTTTGGTTATTATCTAGAAAATGCTAAAGCTGTGTGAAAAAAAAATCAAAGAGAATCTGTAACTTTGATCATTTTCAACCTTTTAAATATGCACACCGAGAAAGAAAAGAAAAGGTTCGTCTGGTATATGAGTAATGAAGTCAAGGAGCTTTTATAACCCTAAGCTGCAAATGGAAGCTGTTTTAGGTTTTACATAATTTCCACAGTCTTACTACCCGTGTTTATTTTCAGATAAAAGAAGTGACCTTTTGCAGTCATCCGGCATCAGAAATAGCACTTATGGACAAGAGTCACAACTAGAAGCCTGGGGAAAGGCGGGTCTCCAAGTATGAGGAATGCTATATAATCGATTTACAATGAAAGTTACAGTTTAGAAACCTTGGGAAGCTCAAATTTCTTTAGTTATTTTTGTTTTACTAAACAATCCGAAGTAAGCATTATACTCATTTTGAAACACAAATTAAATTAAAAAAAGAAGAAGAAAAAGGCAGCATGGAGCATTTTAGTAGGAATCACCAAAGGTTTTTCTTTCCCCCTTCTTTGGGCACACTGTCTCACTTTTCTGTTCTCCAGTTGGCTGCCAAAAAGAAAACAAATCTCAAAAAAATTTTTTTAAAAGAAAAAGAAAACAAATCTCTGCTCAAAGCAGTCATACTTGAGAACATGACAGGCTTTGCACATGATTTTTCCTAACTTCCCGCCCACCCAGGCCCTGAAATCTAAATAAAAGTGTCAGTGAAGACTTTTCTCCCATTTGCAAGACGTCTGAGCCGCTATATGTGACCCACACTGAAAGTGGGCGAGGACAGCTAACATCACTGGCTGCTGCCAGGTTCCCGGATGTGTCCTGTTAGCTATGTTTATTTCTTTAAGACGATAAAGACAAAAGCTCCAGCTGGAACTTCAGACTCAGAAATCTGTAAAAAAAAAAAAAAATACATACTTATCATAGTCCTTAAGATTTCCCAGTAAATGCTCTGAAATCAAGTACTATAAGCTGCTAATCAGCAGCTGAAACTAATTAGCCATTTAAATTACACCGGCAACGTGGGCCAAACCGTCTGACAGCTTCCTCTTGTATTCAACCAGAATCGGAGTATTCGAGTCCACACGCCAGCTACACCAACTAGAAGGCATTCTTCTGACCAAAATTTACCCTAAGATCAATTTTCTCAACTCCTTTCTTTTCCCCAAATCGTTCAATCACATTTTAAGGTGCAGAAGTATGTGAAACGGCGTGCTTTACTGTGCTCTTTAAGAAACCTAACATCTTAGCGAGCTGGGAACCTTTCACAGCATATTTAAACTCTAGGCATGTATAGATATTGTTTATCTGTGCTGCATAATATATACTGTGAGAAAGTGTGTTTTGACTCAAAGGGTAAGCTGAAATGCTACAGTGTGGCAATATACTCGTTAGAGAGTTAGCATCATTGAAAAGGAAAGCATATATTTTAATAATTCCAATGTTTTTTGTTACATGGGCTTAATTTAACATTTTTTCCTTCCCCCTTTGACTTTGCATTTCTATATGGAAAGCATCTTTTACTTTTAGGCTGTGTTTGAGACTACAAAGAATATGCTAGTACACCTTAATATAAATATAAATAATATATAAGCAATATGTAGACACGGAAACAGGTCCAGACATCAGACCACTGATGTTGTGCTTTCTGGATTCACACGGATCAGTCTCGATGCGTTTCTTAGGTCCTGGAGCTGCTTGGCGGGTTTCCCCACACCTTCTTCAAACCTCTTCTCCACCACAGGGAGGACAGTTTCATACAGAAAGGATGCATTCTGTCTGATAAAGGCCTTCTTCTCTGGATCTTGCTCACACCGAAGACTGTAATCCACGTGCTGGACAGCGACCAAAATGATCTCCACCAGGCTCTCCAAGAGGACCATGTGCAGCTCGGGGAAATACAGCTTCAGTGCCTCTTCCAGGAAGCCCATGGTCTGTTTCGTGAAAGCAACCACCGTGTAACTCAGATTCACCCAGCAGTCATCCCCGGTGTACTGCTCAAAGTTACTCACCCCGCAACTCTTCATCTCCTCTTTGAGCTTCCCCAGGGCCTCCGGAGTCATCAGGTTCATCCTCCTCCACATCTCCTCGGAGTTGCGATGCTTGGTGGCTTCGATGATGATTTCTTTGTAACTGTGCAAGGCCCCTTGGATGTCTTTCACCAGAAGGGCGTGGATGATGAAGGTGAGGTCCAGTCCGATGTCACCCAGTTGCTGACAGTGCTCCTTCGCCACTTTGACACACTCGGCTGCTGTGGAGAGGCTCTCCTTACTGTCAAACACCTGTTTGCTAAAAGCATCCACAAACATGCCCATGGCTGACCTCGCCCAGACCACAAAGGCAGAGTAGCAGCCACTGTCAGTGCCTGCAAAGTCTGTCTCAAATTCCCTTGCCGTCTCAAGAAGGCTGGTGAAGAAAACATGGCACAGCTTATGGATGTAGAGTAAAGTGGCGCCTTCAATGCGAAGCTGGCGGATGGCCGTGTGCACCGCCGCTGCTCTGTTTCTCAAAAACAGCTCACAAGCCTTCGTGCACTGGCCCAGCCGGATGAGCTGGGAGACCGCCCTCCGGGTAGCCTTGGGACCACCTCTCAGGGACCGATCCGGGGAGAGTTCAAAAACCAGCACCTCGGTGAGCTGGCGGACCCGCTCATCCACCTTGGCCCGCAGTTCTTTTACCGGAGGCGGACTGGGCTTATCTTCTAGGTAATGGTTCAATTTATCCAGCAGGTCCACGGCCCCTTCGAAGTCCCTCTGGGCGATACAGACGTCCAGGTCTTCAGGCAACTCCTGGATCCATTCCATCGAGAGGTCTACCTTATCTTCTTCTACCTCTGGAGCAGCTGGTTCGTCGTCGTCCTCATCCTCAAATGGGTTGCTGGCCTTGGATGTCACCTGCGGTGGCCCTCGAGGGGCCGCTGCCTCCTCCTGCTCCCTGCGTCTTTTTTCACTGAGGGCCCTCTTGGTTTCCTCCAGCACTTCCAGCCACTCTCGTTTGATTTTTGCGTTTTCTGCCTGAAAAATGCGACTCTCGGGAAACATGAGCAGCTTGAACATGTCCTTCATGGGCGGGTTGTCCTTGACATTGACCACGGCCAAACCATCCAGGGGATAGAGGGCGTTGTAGCGATACATGCCCCGCCGCTGAGGCAGCCAGGTGGCCACCAGCAAACAGTCGTTCATGAGAAAGCCGTGTACCCGCTGCAGCTGGGCCATGTGGTCCGCTTCGTACTCCACCAGGTCCCCATTGTACACCAGGTATTGTCCCGGCGTCTCCAGCAGGTGCCTGCAGCCTTCCACCTTCTCGAGCAGGGTGGTGAGAGTGCGTTGCTTTCCCTCCTCGCCTGGACCGGAACTGTCGCGGGAGGCGCCCCCAGGGCTGGGGAAAAAGCCAGC